GATGGTGATGGTGGTGATGGTGGTGATGGTGGTGGTGGTGGTGATGGTGATGGTGGTGATGGTGATGGCGATACACACTAATAATCATTTCACAGCACTGAGTGCCCTTTACTATCTCAGGTCATTATGACGCAGATTAGCTCACAGGCCTTAAACTCAAGGAGTGAGCTGGGGCTAGTGCAGGCCCCATGTGCGGAAGAAGAAACCAGAGCGAGTTCAGACAAGTCCCCGAGATGGCTGAGCCCCATACCCAGGGGTGCGGCCCGCACTGGCCTGGTGCTGCCCCAGCCGGAGATCAGGCACTGTGTGCCACTCCTGGGGCAGGTTCTGGGCAGGGTGATGGTTCTCACGCTCTTGGTGAGGACGGCTGGCTTGGCCAGCTTAATCAGCATGATGTCGTGCTCCAAGGTTTTCCTGTTGTAACTGGGGTACCGGATGACCTTCACCGAGTTGATGGTCTGCTCAGTCCTCTCAGAGACAGCGAGGTTGTGCTCACCCAGTCTTACCCGGAAGCTTCTGGAAAGAGTCAGGAAGGACACAGGCCTACTGGTTGGCCAGAGTTGCTTTTACATTCACCACCCTCTTGGGGCCCCCAGCAGAGTCCCTCAAGCCCAAGGAGCAGCCCAGAGGCAGCCCTGAGCCCCCCGTGGGCTGGAAGGAAGCCTTATGGGGGCGGGAAGCACCGTGCCCTGCAGAACTGGAGACTGGACAGGAGGCGGTCACGGCGGCTCTCTGCGGCAGCCGCAGGCAGCCAGACCATAGCAGGGGAGAGAGGAACACGTGGTGGAGCGGCCGGGAGTCCGTGCAGCAGGAGCTCTGGTGGGCTCGTCGCCGGGCCCACAGTCACAGCCCGCGAGGCCTGTTTGTGCCGACGCTAACAGCGTGGACATGTGTGAAGAGGGCAGAGTCACAGTAAATGCACCAGACAGACTTTGGGAAAGCGGGAAGAAAGAAAAGAAAATGTCATGAGAATGATGTTGGGGGTCATGAGGGGAAAGTACTGGGAGTCAGGAGAAGGAGCTGGCCTGGGACAGAGACATTTCCTTGGAGGGTGGACGAGAAGTGGGCGTCCAGAGATGTCCCTGTGGCACTGACCCGCTGTGCCCAGGACCAGCCACAGCCTTGGAGGCCCCCGGCAGCCCTGGACACCCCCCCCCAGCAGTCTTGGAGAGGCTGTCAGCCTCAGAGTCCCCCCGGCAGCCTCAGGGCCCCCCACTCACGGTTTGTAGCAATGAGCGGCAGAGAGCACCCACTGGCGGCTGATGAGGGAACCCCCACACACGTGCCGCGTACCCACTTGCAGGGACACCTGGTAGGGTTTCCTCTGGCGGCAGACATAGCCCCCAACAATCTTGTCATCCTGGTCATCACCAATTGTGGGGAAAGCCCCTAGGAGAGGAGGAAGGAAGTCGAATTAAAGATTCAGGGTCCCCAAGGCTCCCACGAGAGAAATGGCCCAAAAGCAGGCTGCGAGTCCATGCAGCGGGAGCTCTGACGGGCTGGGCGCTGGGCCCAGTCTCAGCCGCGAGGCCGGTTAGTACCGATTTATGCAACAACCCTGATACTGTGTTACCTGTTATACCCAAAACATCCCCATTCGGTCCCTAAAGTCCATGGTCACCCTCTTTACGTGGCCTTTTCCTGTGATAGCAGAGCTGGAGGGGAGCGTGAGGACCGCTTTGCTCTCGTGTTTCTTTTCAACTCTTCTCAGTCTTTCCTTTTCCAGCCCCCTCGTTTTTCCAGCTGAAGTTAAGAGACCCACATATCTGTGCTAGGTTACTGGCCCATCCAGGAAGCCAGAGAGGCTAGATATGCAGTCTCTAGATATTTAGTCTCGCTTCAATATGAAAGGGGAAAAAAGACTTACCAGCAATTTCTAGGAACATAAGAAAGACGATGGTTTTCATGGTGGGAATTTCTCCAACGTGCTGGGAGTGATTCAGAATGAGGGGATAGTCCCTTATATACCCCCAACCAACCAATCTTATCACTAATATGAGGCCTCAAGGCAACAGGTGGAGTATGAGAGGAGACACCCAGATATACTCTAGAGGGGACTCCATTTTTCAAATATGGCAATCTTTGTTGCTAAAGTTAATCATAAACACAAGTACAAAGGCCTCTAGTTAACAGGTGGACGATGAGAGGACACCCAGGTATTCATGGGTAGGCTTCATTCTTCAAATATGGCAATACCGTTGCTGGAAATAATCACAAACACGAGTACAGAGGGGACAATGGGATTTTCAGAAGTAGGTCCCATATGGTTAAGGACCCACAACCTTGGTTTAATAAGGTTTTACCGAAATAGTGACAACAAGTGGTGTTAAACAAAACTGCATTGTTAAAGAACAAAATATTGCCGGTACATGGATGTTTTCCCACTGTGTACATTTTCTCTCTTAGATTTTTAAAAATATTTATTTATGCATGCATACAAGAACGGAGGTAGGTGGGGGTGGAGGGTGAGAAGATTCATGAGAGTCAGAGTGGGGAGCAGCACAGGCAAATGCACTGACATACACGGCTGAGGGGAGCAGCGGGGAGACAGGAGGTCTGCTGTGCCCTGGGGGTCACTCCCTGGCCAGGGAGTTACTCAGGCTGCAGTAACTGACAATTGCTTGATAGTGCAGAGACTTAAGCCCTTGCGCCACTCGGGAGACCCCCCCCTTAGATATTTTATAAGTTTTTTTTTTATGATTCAGAATCTGTCCTCCTAATGCCTTCTCTCCTAAGCCCCACCTGATCCTGTCCAAGTGTCTTCTTGCACCTCAGGTCAGTCTGTCTAGAGTTGAATTCATCGTGGCTTACTGTCCCTTCATCTCATGTATCATCTCCATGTACTCTCATCTCCCTGGATGTTCAAATCTGAAACATGGGGTCACCCTGAATGGTACAGGGTTATGTCTCCTGCCTTGAAGAGCGACCCGCTCTTCCCCTTTAAGTTCAGCAAATCTTGATTAAATGTTTCACTGACATTGTGCTTTTCCTTGCATTCTGAGGGCAAAAGTCCTTTACTTCAGGACAAAGCCAAGGATAGAAACTGGCAAAGACAACGTCAGAACTGCTGGTCACCAGAGGTGACGAAAACCAGCTGATGTCAGCTGAGTCACCAGACACTTAGGTTACGAGAACAGAGTGGGTGTGTCGGGGTGCAACCCCACCCACTTCCCGTTAGTGTCCTTGTAGCTCTAAACAGCTCCCTTTTCTCTGCTAGTGACAGGATGGTAATTTTTGAGACTTGAGTGGGCTACCCTCCTCATCTGTCAGCGAATACATGAAACTACTTTCTTTCTCCTCAAAATTCTGTTCTCGTTGGTGGAGGGAAACCGAGATGGCAATTCCAGTATCACTAGCTTCTCACCCATCTTACCACATCTACTCACAGGACCAGCCTTGAAGAGCTCAGCTGTCTGGAGGATCCTTGACTTACCCTGCAAGTCAGCCCCCTGGCTCAGTCAGGCTCAGTCTCTCTCCTGAGCTAGTGACACTGTCCTGTGAGCATCTCTGCCTCCTTCACCATTCCTCTGCCCCTGCCTGTGGTCGCTCCATCTGACCCAACCAGGGCCAGTGGGACATGATGGGGAAGCAGAACTGGGAGCTAGAGACGACTGTTTCTAGGAACCACCAGGGCAGAGATGTCCAGCGAAGTCCTCCTGCAGAGCCAAAAAGGACCAGGACGCTCAGTGCAAGGTTCTGTCCTGCCTGCCCAGTGCCTCACGGGCTCCAAGCTCCTCTGCTGTGTGGCCCTCTGTCTCCTGGGAGCAGGTGAGCCTGCAAAGGGGGTCTTCTCTGTCCTCAGACTCTGAGTCTTCTCATCACTGCCTGACAGGAACCTCGACATTCGGATTCTCGCCCTACAGGTCATATGGACAGTGGAGTTGCCCAGATACCAAAACATATGGTGACCATGATGGGGGTACAGGGGACCCGGAAGTGCAAGTGACACCTGGAACATACCGCCATGTACTGGTACAAACAGGACACTAAGCAGTCACTGGAGTT